TATACATTACATATGAGTTGAGTTGAAAGGCAAGCGAAACTGTCAGAAATAGCCCGAGTAAAGGTGTAATTCTCTATAGAACTGTGGAAAGTACGCACAGTCGGACCCATTATCGCCTATTTGTTGAGTTTCCTAATGGCAGATGCGTCCATCAGGCCACGGGTTGAGGGATCCGGACACAACTTTCTTCTAAACAGCTAGCAAAATTCCAGGCTTAATCATCAGGTTCTCCGAGGACCAACAGTTACTCAAATAAAAACGTCTGACCCTTACCAGTTGGTGTTGTCAAAACAGTATAACAACTGGTTAGACCAATAATCACAGCCAAAATCAAAATCAAGCGTGGACCGAGGGTTCTGAATGCAACGGCTCGAGACCTCGAACCAAAGGGTTTCGTATCAATAGCTATGGTGGTTCTGTAAAGGAATGTGCGTCTATAATTTATTTTGTTGGAGCATTGCAAACATGTGATAATGACAATGAGGACATCCATAAGGTATTCCAGACCAACTTTAAGACTGCTCGCTGAGTAACCACGCCGCCGTGGATGGTTCTAACAGCATTTGATGCCAATCGGTGCAAACGTCTGCAATCAATTAGATCTGGCTGGGGCGCTGAGCGATTGAAAGTTCAATGGAGGCCCTCCCTGGAGAACATTTAATTGGGCAATTACGGATGAAAAGAGATAAGCTTGTCGAACTCACTCATCGATTAGAAATCTGGCATGAGCATATATAGGGCATGTGACAGCCGTTGAACTACTAGAAACTCAAAACATGCTCGAATCCCTACTGATTTATCGAGGAAGAGATCTGAATCTTTTATAGATACTTCTGACCTTTGTCGCTTACCACTGATTCATGCTACTTAACTTTCCTGTTTTGTTCGTGTCCATGCCACTTTTTGTATCAAAGAGCAATAACGTAATCTGTATACCAGTAAAACTAGCGAACATCAAAGGATGGAATCAACGAATTCTCTTGTGTCTGGAGAGAAAATTCAGAACGATACTAGCAATTCACAGATTAAATACATCAATGTACTTCATAGTATATACGATAGTGGTGTTTCCGTAAGCCAATTCAGCTGATTCGCAAACAGCCTTTCCTAGGTGTGTGTGTGCTTCGTCCGGTACTGTACACACTATGCCTTTCTCTATTAGGAACTTACTTCCTTTTTCCAAAGCAGCTTTACTGGTGTTCCCAGAGGAATCCTTAAGTGGGTTCAAAGGCGCATAGTGCGACTTAGTATGTACCACAGAGTGATCAGAAGCATTCACTTTCAGCGAGGCATTTTCTATTGCTGGATTTTCGCTCGAATGCAACAGAGCCTTTTTATTTCTTTGAGAGGTCGCCTCCAAGCTGGTCTCAAACTGAACTGATGGGGTGTGGAATACGTCGCCCATAGTTTTTGACTGTCTTCGTTGTAGGAATCTAACAATTGATTTGTTCAAAGAATGACTTAGGGGAATTGAAGACGATTCTTTTTCCACTCCGAGATGAACAGCACCGCTCAGTGACCGGTTGAGTGGTTTACTTGCTGAGTCCTCTTCATATTTGTTCCCATCCAAAGGACATGAACTCTCCCGTTTTTGAAGTCTCCATATAGCCTTGCATTCAGAATTCATGGTAAGTGTTTGAACCCCAGTTGGGATGGCTGTCTGCGAGTTCGAAATCTGGTCATCAGCAGGTAAGATGGGGAACCGTCAGTGCTTGAGTCGAACAGTGGCCTCTATGCTCAGGTCCTTTCACTTTTGCCACGGATTCCGAAATAATGACGTCTGAGTTGTTCAAATCGTGTTTTAGAGTATTGGTAAATCGCGATTCCTCCTCGCACTCAGAGTCCATTGGTTTTAATTCAGTGTTTCGTCCTCTGATGAAAAAAGTTTCCATTTCACCTTTACCCTGTTGAGAATTATAAAATATATTGTAGGCAGTTAGATGTTAGTAAAACCGCCCAACCAAAAGCCAGAAGTCTGCGGATCCAAAGTTTCCGTATTCAAATGTCCGATAAAAAACGAATAAGATTTTTTAACCTTTTCAAGAAAACGCCTACTTGTTGAGTCGATTCATCCTAATATGGCCGCGAATACCCGTCTCCATGTTTCCTATATGAGTGTTTCGGAAACGAAGCGTAAAAATATAGTTTGAATGTTTTTTTGCGCTTTTATTTCTGTCCACGTCAATATTAGTGCAAGTATAGCAAATTCGTTCGACTTAATAAGCCGTCCCGACTGAATTTTATGGGAGGGAGGAATTCGTTTATTTCATCTGCACTGTCATACAAACTGACCAGCTTAACGCACATTTATTCGCTTCATCTGGTCAAAACAAATGCAAAAAGATATGTTGCATAGAATAGTAACCCACTTTTACAGTCATTTTCCCGCGTGACTCCACAACGAACGGGTACGGTCTCAGAGCTTCGGCAAATGAGTTACTTGCGTGAATTTTGTTTGGCTAAAATCAGAATGGCAAATGAACAAAATAACTTTTTGAAGCCGTTTTCTTCATTCCGACGTTAAATAACAACCAGAAAGCGAAAGCATGAGAACACCTGTGGATATAAAACCGATGTATTAGAAGACATATGACATACGGGATGGGAGGTTACAAGATACTGTGACACTCGTGAATGAAGATGTCACACAGCAAGTTTATCTACTCACTAGAAATTACGGTGCAAACTGATTATAATGCATTTTCTCTGATTGATTAAATAAGGAGGAAAATGTTTGTACGCGAGTTAAACCTTCAGCGAAACACGCACTGTTTAACTCAAGACCGTTGATAAAGGACACAGCACTCCTATGACACGACGAAATAAGTGTTTGAAACTAAACCTCAACGTCAGGTACTTGATAAGCGTGATCTTGCTGTAGTTGTGAAACCACTACCCACTGTATGACTTACCAGCGGGTCCTTAGGGATGGGTTCATCGAAAGAACATTGCTAATCAAACAGAGATTAGTATGTTTTTGTAGATACATGTCCTTGCACATTGTTTGGATAGGAATAAGAGCTGATTAGATCTTCTCATTTTTTATGTTTTTAAGCTGAATTGTTCCGTTTAGTTCTGCTTTTTAATGCGAGGTCCAATGTTGGTTTTCGTTGAGTGTACAACCTACACTCTCCTCATTTTAAATAAAATTTATGTAAAAGTAGCTGATTATACGCATGTCTTAAATCTAACACTATTAAATCGACCGCCTCACTGAAACAGTGAATCCCCCAGAATCACCACTAGGTGTTTCATGTCGAGCGATACCCGCATTGAGATAAGAGTCTGAGCAATACATACAACTGACCCGACAAATATTTCTGATAGTTACCGATGGTTTCTTCAAGCAAAAGGGATACGCAAATACAGCTGAACTGCGATTTACGAAATCAGGTCAATTATGATTTTTAATGCTAAACGGTAGATAGAGCGCTGCGACGAGAACAGCAATTATCGACGCATTCTAACCTTCAGACATCGTACGATATTTCCTTGCATTGCAAACTGGGTGAGTTTCTCAATACATCTCACGCAGAACTTACGCAGTGCCCAAATCACCAACCTAATTTTGCATTCCTAAGTGGAGTCAGATTGAATGTCATACACCCATGGAAAAAATCCGTTGCAAAATTTTCCTCACATATTATGTTAATAATGTTATACATTAGCATTTTGCAAACAGCCAAAAGAGGAGCTGTTACCGGAAAAAAACGATTGTGTCCGTTTGTGCATAAATGCTCACTTAGTGGACTGCAAACAGGATCATGACATTTTCAAAATACCTGATGACCGAGAACTTGGTGATGAAAAAGTGGGAGCCATTCTTGAAGTTCCTTTTTATCCGACAAAATTAATTGGATTTCGACACATGTATTCCTGCCGTGACTATGTTATTAGAGCACCCTGTGATATGAACTTACTGCCACATTCCACTTGAAAAACCGTCGAAAGTGTTTGTACGATGACGTATTACCTCCACAAAGAAGCCACCCAGGAAGAAACATTCTAGACAGAGAAGTGACTTGAAAATGTAATGGCCCTCCGCCTTTTGCTTTCGCACCTCAAGAAAACAGGTAACCCAGAACCAGGAATGATGATGGCCTATTCGAAATAAAACTTCACCTCGTTCGCAATCTGATACTCAACCATGTTAAGCACAGCTAATGTGTGACTCTAGAATTCAGAATTTTTATGATGAACTTGGCTGAGCTTGTTCGATAGTCAAGCACAGGGCATCACAGTCAAAAACAAGCTGAGTCGTAGCTAAACGTAGAGCTTTGAAACTCTATACTTGCCCACATTCTGGTAACTTTTCTTTCCTCGTTTCCCTACAAGTGTTGGTTCTTGTCATAATTCTGCTTTGTGATTCCCATTTGCCATAAAAAATCCATCTTCCTAAAGGCCTAGAAGACTGGTCTTCATGATCACTATAAGGGCCAGCTACATTGTGTCCAGTTATTCCAGTTATGGATATTCAGGGCGGATGGATGCCTCCGCAGTGATTGTAAACCGTCTGCCGGAAAAATATGTTTGGTTGTGTGAATCTTATGTCTCAGTCGTTGAAAAGTTAACTATAGTCATTTTCTTTCCTTTTAACCCTAATAACAAATTAGTCCTATATACTGCTGATAGACAATGGGCAAACACGGCTATTGTGCTGTCACTGCAATAGGTATTTCATCCTGTTTTGGGCTTACAGTGAAATTGCCGTGTAAAGAACAGTTTGTACACAATACATTGCATTAGGATTATACAGACTTTTGGACCCAAACATCTTCGAACGTTTATAAATCCCCAAAATACACTCTCTTTCACAGGAGACTGAACTGAAACCCAGCTGAATCTTTCGTCTATGATGTTAATCTGCAGTTGAACGTGCTGCATAAAGGCCGCCTTATCTCTTGGTTGGTACGATATTTGAGATAGCTAAGTGTATTCCCTGAAACTATTCACAAGGTTGCTGAAGACTTTCCGACAGCTTAGAACCGGTAGAAAGTAAGTTAGACAAAATCCCGGGGACCGCGCTTACCTGACGAGTCTCTAGAAGGGGCGAAACAGGTCGTAGGTTGTTAAAGGGCTTTCAGCAATCTCGTGGTTAGCTACATTCAGGAAAATAATGAATCTCCTGTTTATCACCGTTTGACCACCTAACGCAGAATTTGCCAATAGACCACGACAAACGGTAAAATGCTTGAACAAGAAGAGCCTATGGAAGTATAATGAACAGGGCAAAATTCCCTTGACATAACACCACGCATCTATACCCAGTCTGTAATGAGATGAAGGTATTCTATTCTACAGGTTGGCTCCTCGACCTACCTTACAGCACGAACTCATCCTGTGACACTTCCTGTGTGCTGGCCCAACCATTGATTTTCACCCGGTTTTCCACCCCTTTTTATTTTATCGTTGCTTGACTTGTCCAGTGAACACATTCACTGTGACGCTTGAGCTATTCTAATTAGGTTCGATGCGTGCGAACCCACATTTGTTATTCTTATCTGGTTGCACTTTTCCAAAAGAATCGTTTCTCTGTTTACACTCTACCTGGGAGAAAAGTTAAGCCTTTTTCGTTCCTTGCCCTTGGTGATCTAAATTACGCGATTTGATTAAAAGTGACAGATCGGATTCCGCGTGGGTGCATTTAGCACTGTCTGACGCACGTTGCATACGCTATCAGTGGCGAGTGAATCTGTAGGTGGGTTCGATCATCTCCGTAATCACCATCGTCATTGTCATCATCGTCTACAAGCCACAGGAATGTGAGCAAGTAATCTACACCTCCTTCCCACTCTATTTTTCATTCCACTCGCTTGTGAACTGTGTGGATTTTGTTCTGAAATTATACCTACTTTATTCAATACTCCTTTTTTACTATCTTCTTCCTCCCACCTGATGGCGAAGAAGTCCCAAATCCCATCACCCTGTTACCAACAGCGACACAGAAGTTATAATACATCGATCTGCAGAAAACGAGCAAAGTAAAGGCTTCCGGGGGTATTTAACAAAATGGAACGTTTTGTCTCACTTAATATTCTTAAAATAAGCAAATTTTTGACGCTCATTAGAAGGTTACTTTTCCTTCTAGATCGCCTTTGTAAGTATGCTGAAGAAGTGATTGTAGTTCAAGCTGTCTCCCACTTACTACTCATAAGTAAAGCCTTTAGGTGGGTATTTTCTCACATGGGAAACAACCGCTCTACCAAAAGTAGTGCAGGGTACAGTACAAACGGAGACTAATCTCCCAAATAAAGCGGCATATTTTTTAAGGCACACCCAAAAAACTGCTTGAAACCCACGAGCACGACTAAGTTCCCATTACATCCTCGCAGATAGCAAGTGATGCGTTTTAATTCAGTCTGTTTTCAAATAGAACACGCTCACAAAGAATGAATTGTGGTAACTCTCGATGATCGTTCCATGGAAAAGGGAAGTAGTCTTTCAGTTGAGGCAATCATTGCGCATCATAAATCATCACCGGACATTTCATATATTGGATACTCTTTATGTTCTTACTAGTTTTCTTTTCAAGATGCTGTTCGTACACATAATCAAACTGGTCATCGCGGAGTTCTCTATGCCCATAATGGTAGAGGTCCTGGTTAGCGCTGTTAAGTAAGCTGTAGGGTCTGGTATTCTCATCACCACACACTCAGCAGTCATGTGCCAAAAAGGCACGCAAACAAGATCATTTTTTTTGAATGCTTCATCAGCACATTCAAAAAATTTCTGCTGTATCACCTGACATTTTAACAAATCAATACAATCTGACTGTAATCTGACCAACCACAAATGAGTGGTTAAGCGAGTAATACTTCCAGAATATACATAATATCAATGGAAGGCGAATCTTAGCTTACACCGTGTGCGACCTGGAACGTTTGGTTGATAACACATGAGAAGATTTGTTCAATGGGAGCAAGCAAGGTGCCATGGTAGCCATCCTTTACTTGTTTTTCTGAGTATAACTCGTTGTGGATCGAACAATAATGAAGGGATGAAAACCGTGTCGTGACATTTGGGTTAACCCAAGAGATGCAGTGGCATGCTTCCCAATTCATGCTAAAGATTGGAACCTCCTATGCATACGCTAATAACACAAGTACAATATTGAGATCATTGGCTTCTTAGTGAGTGACCTTGCAACTCTCATTGGTACAGCTTTAAACCCTTCAATAGGGTATCTGCCTAAGTTTATCAGGAAAACTCAACACATATAAGGACTATTTTAGACTAAGGCAAGTCCGCAGCATACTTTTTGGCAGTAATAGTGAACGAAGAAGCCAGTCTTGCGGTGTAAACCATAGCTATCAAACCGGACATCAGTGGTTAAGCTTTTCCTAATGGAGCCCTTTTTAGGGTAGCCACTTTTGTCGTAATGACCAAACAGCGATTTCTTATCAGCGTACCGACAAACTAACCGAGTTCGATCGAAAGAATTAAAGTCGAATAATTATATTGTGTGGTTCACCAAGCACTCCCATGTGTTTCTCTAATTCGTTTACAACGGAAGGGGGAACTCAAGTGAATTTCTTATATAAAGTTATTCTTCTACTGAATATGCTACACCACGCCACCTCATGATTGACCTAGTACCATATCAGGGTGCCGTCATGAATTGCACTGACGTAGCACACTAGTCATAAGTTTGCTGAAAATTCTTCGACAGCCCACTACCAGCTCTGCCATCCCGTGGCTCATGAGACAGACAGTCTCCCAGCTTCCGACATCCCCAATATCGTGCCAAACAAAAAACGAGGCGCCCTTGTGCAGTGCATTAAGCTGCTGGTGGACATAATGAACGAGTAATCCAGCTGGGAATCAACTGAGTCTAACGAAAATCAAACTGATGCACAAATTATTGAAGTTCCCGAATTTCGTACAATTTTTGTTTTAAGTAGAACGTACTATTGGCAAAACTCCGAGGATTGTGCTCGCCTGATTAACTCCAATATGGTTTTGTGCTATCGAACATCTTATTTGTGGTGCTTGTAGTCAACTTTTGGACTTAAAGTGACAGGTTTAAATAAATAATCTACTTCAAAACTCACATATGAAAGTTTTGAATTCCTTTACTGTCCAGAATTTTAATACAATATGTCTTAAAATAGGACTGAAGTGTGACGTATAGGATGGGGTATATTTCTACTACTTCGACCAACATGAAGCCCTGTTAAACACAGCTGCAGAAGAGCTGCATAGTGTATGGAAAGTGACAGTTAGACTCGTATCTGCCATGGCCTCTTGCGGTAATGGATATATTCACTCCTCGGTTTTAGACGATAGTCCTGTCCCCAATAGTTGGGGCACAAACTGGATAAAATTCCCTTCTTATTGCTGCCGCAAAATTTAGTAGAACATTTTACAATTCCAGCACCAGGCCACTGTAGAGTGGTACACCATGGGGGTGCAGTATGTAAAACTTGTGAATCAGTCTTGTTATGCTGACCATGCTTAGGGTATAACATAACAAAATATGTAGCACTCACCAACCCTGTGCTCATCATTCGATTGGCCGTATTCACTGCGTCACCAAACAAGCAGTATCGTGGAGCGTTGTGCCCCAGAACTCCGGTAACCACAGATCCTGTATGGCATCCAAATAGCAATTGAACTTGTTCCAATTTGTTCTCCGGTTCTGTGTCACCAGAACCATGCGTGTCCCAAAAGAAGCCATTTTGGGTGACCGATAGCATCTCCAACGCTAGTTCGGCTATGTGTGCTGCATGCAACCGAGTGCGCTGCGGTGCGCCAGATACGAACATGTAGCTGCCACCGATTGTTTCCACCTGTGGTTTATAAATACGGTGAAAATTTTTACGTGGCACATCCCCATGAACGATTTCTAGGAAGACTCAGCAAGTAGGAGATTCTTCAATAAGAGGAGCCGCCTTCCAAATACAGGCATATCGGCTCAAGTTGAAGAAACTTTTTTGGAGAAAAAATTGTAACTGTGGAACGTTTGGTAATGTTGCTGGTGGCATTCAAAGGATGATTACCATCAAGTTGTATTCGACAGTTATACCCTAATAGGAGTAAAAAAACTATTTATAGAGTGTCCCGTTGTGCTTGAGAGGGCTGTACAAATAGCCTATCGTCCGCTGAGCTCACATTTATTTGTACCAATAATCCTCTTTAAGGTAGCCCAAGAACTAGCGAGCTTAGAACTAGTGAAAGTCTGTCGAATGAATTAAATATATGTCAGTACAGATGCCTTAGAAGATAAGCGATCTAAATTTCTCATTCAAAGGTGTGAATAAACCAAAAACACATTATTTTGGAAGCCTGTAGCAGTTGAAGCAAGGACCTTATATTTTTTACGCCGTATATGAAAGAGATTGTGGATTTCGTGTTATACTGCTACACTCCAACAATGGCATGGTTGTTCTCCTTTACAGTTGTCACCCTGATGGAATCCCATCACACTGAAGAGGCCACTTCTACAATGTCTTTCAAAGGTGCCGAGTGAATATGTCTCGTCCAGCATTAGGTTCATGTACTTCTGCTGTACACATTCTCCTCTCCTTGTTTTCCAACTTAGTTTCCATTCAACAATTAGTCACTGTTCACGATCAAAAATGATCGAGAATTATATTAAACACGTGCGTCAGGGACCTCAGTCAAAGCGAGAGTTTCCGCACATAGAATAACTCCAAGTATGAGCTTCATCTTTTATTTAGTGTCTTATTCGTCTCCAGTGGAAAAGGGATCGCATCACAGAAGAGAACCTTCGGAAAAACAAGTTTATCAGTTTAAACCACCTCAAACATGTATTTTTAAATGGCACCGCACATCTTTCAAATTTTTAAATGTACTACAAAGAAGGGCATTGATGAATACTAAAAGCTTCTGTTATAACCAGTTCGGCTGGTTCCGGCCCAATTGCCTAGGTTAAAAAAGAGACCAAAAAACTTAGTATTATTTCAAATAATTTACTAGTTTTTACACGGTTGAAATTCGGGTAAAAAGTTGACTTACCTTGTAAACGTTGCGTGATTCTGTGAGGCAGTCAAATATTGTATACATTTTATTCAGCATGTAGATTAGTTCCTCCACGGGCATCATCATGCACTTCTTGTCAAAGTCAACGACTTTGGTGAAGCATATGCTAACAGCATCGAAAGCCTATAAACATTGAAAATTACATACTCTGAGAAGAAACTTCACTATCGATTCTAAAAAGGAGAGATCATGACGGGTAGCAACCCATTTCAGTTCATTTGAGTGGAAGACAGAAATATGATCACTCTTGAGATCACAATAAAATTATTTTAGAAAAGTGGACTTGTTAGTAAAAAAATTGGTCCACTTTTGAACACAGTCTAAAGTGATCAAACATTGTGGATATTTAGCGGAATACACTCACTCGCATACCATTTTGGTTTTCTTGAGGGACCCATGTGAATCTTTCGTTTATGATATTCGCTTTTAACTGAAGAACTTCACAAAGATTCAGTTGGGTCTTCATTGAAAAACAAACTTCTACGCCAACTAGCGTATTTTGCTAATTTCTTGCAATTCGGGTTCGAGAAGACTATGAGTTTGATGAAAACTAGGGACTGCCCCTACCTGATGAGCCTCAAGAAAGTCATAACCGGGTGTGGGCTGTAGAAGAGTTTCCAGCAACCTAATGAATAGTGTGTTGCACCGTGTTTAAAGTGAGTATTCGATGAGATTATTTCTTCCGAATGGGATGGGGCAGTCAACTCAGTTAGCCAATCAATGGTGGCACCTATAAAAGTGACCTTCCGACGTCATTCAAACAGGAACGATCGACTGTTTTTAACACGGAAAGCATTCACCAGATATATTCCACAATCTCTGCCGCACGTACCGACCATGATAACAGCTTTTGCCGATATACCTGATGCACAGTAATTTGATAGAAAATTATATGATAAGAACTTACTAACCCTGTTACTTCCGTCTGTGGTGTGGACCAACCAGAACGGTCAGTCTAGAGAATAAGGAGTGCCAGAAAGATGATGATGCAGAAATGGATTCAAACAACTCAGGATCAAACCGCTAAAATCAAACGTACCTGTACAGTGTCCATCGTCATTGTACCCTTTTGTAGCTGTTTGGCAAAAGTCTCCGGAATGCAGTTGAATAACAGATCATCAGCAAGCTTTTGGAGTTTTCCAATGCGCTCCATATTCCTTTCTAAGTGTGCGCTAACGCTTGTTTGCTAAACGGGATGACAAATGGAACTACACATGAAGAAGTCTGTTTGAAGGCGCCGAGAAAAAGAGGGTTACTCTGCTCCCATTCATAACAAAACGTGCCAGAACGAAGATCTCCGTCGACATAAAGATAATCGTGGAACGGATTCTTCACATACTGCAGTCGTCTCGTCTGGGTAACAACTTTTCATAGAATCAACCAATGGTAAATTTTGATTCTGTGAAGACCTGGCTTCATCCTTTACTAATCGACGGCCATGTTGAGGAGCAAGTAGTTTCCCACCACATCAGCACGACTTTCTAGACTGTAGTGAATGGAGCTTGGTCGATACGTACGTATTAGCATTATGAATTTGAAGTACTCTGTGATCCAACACACAAAAACCCGATATTTGAAAAATTCTCACTAATTATCTCTTGAAATGTCATGGATAGAACTTCCTCATCTGTTATCCCAATTTTTAATTCCTACGCAACTGTGGACACGTCATACGAAAGGGCATGGTCGCATTGGCTGAATGCTGCGACTGATGACCTATGGATGCCATTGATAAGTCCCAATGACGGATATGCATGCTAGGAGCACCTGTGCTCCAGTCCAAGCAAAATCTTTCGCCGTGCTATTCAAACCACCCAGACATAACTAAACATACATCACATCCGTGAAGAATCTGTGTAATGTGCTTTCCACTAGCGGCCTCTTCTAAGGAAGGGCCGATGACATCGAGAAACGCTGGTTAAGAATTATGTTAGCCGTGCCATGCGACAAAATATTAAACAGAGGCAACCTTTTGGTGCACGGTTGTCAGGAAACCCAAATGAACTAAGAGAACTGATATAGCAGAACCGTGCAGGTTCAAACAAGATCCCCTGTGATGCAACTGTCGGAGTTTTTCTTCAGTCTCTAAGCTACTTCAAATCCGATCAATTCCTGTTATGTGGACCTCTGTCCTCTCTATACTGCATGTTTAAACTTGCCTTAAATGATAGCGTAATGCTGATTGTGATATTTTGACCTGGTGTGTGCCCACACGTCACCCTATACAAACAAAAATGAACTCCGGGACTCCCTATACATTGTAGTTCGCATCCAACTACACACCGGTTTACTGTTAGATGCGTTCGCTTATGCATGAAAGCCATGTCATGTCCATGACGGGATGAAGAACACAGGGGGTTAATCAACACTGTTATGTGTTCCCATTTAGGTTAGTAGACGGATAAATTAACCATTCCCCGATTCTAACAAATGACAGACATCGTAAAATCAGTGCAAATATTCTATTAGCTTTTGGTTCATAAGTGTTTTGAAACGTCGATCATCATCAGCGTCTTACCTGGAGACAGTTATTTTCACCTTATTATAAGCTGCAGCCCAACGCCAGGTGCATATAGCGGAATAAAGTTTGGGGAGTCAACCTAACTGCCGGATGGCAGATAACGAGTGACCGCTGGTTCAATGGGGATCACAATGAAGGTTTCGCTAGAAAAAGCCTACAGGTGCCAGAAGCTGAAAGTTTCGGTAGGATGCCATGAAACTCTTCGGCGGTGCGGGATGGCTTATATCCTCGGTTCATGTGCGGATCGCGATAAATAGAGTCCACCCTGGGGATGTGTGTAAATGTGTTGAAGTGAAACACTCATTGAAATTAATTTTGAATGAGCGCGAAAAAAACAAGGTTTTGTTCCACCTGACTCACTATCTTTTTGTCCGATGGTTTGGTGTAAACCTCAACATGTATTGAAATAATTTGTAGGAAAGTCCTAATATTATAAGTTATTTTTAGGATAACAAGGCCTGAAAAAATTTCCAGGCTACTGAGGAGCCTTTTGGGTCAGTTAACGCTCAAAAGCTCAGCTTTCAAACTTAATATAGTCATGACACAAATCGGAACAATGGGGCTATTAGACTCAGTTCGGATTCTGTATACAATTTTCACAAGTCATTATGTGCATTCAAATGGCCGACGATACAGTGCTTAAGCGAGTGGTCAGCCTTGCACAAGTTCAAAAGTAAACGATCTTCTCAAGTCAAAAAAAAACGGGACCAGACGTCTAGTTTACATGGGTCCGCGTTCAACTATCAGGGTTTGTCGTAAAACTTCTGCTTCTCGTTATCTATAGGCTTACGCGAATTGTTAGTCTATGTCCTTTTCGTTATATCCTATCGGTATCATTGGAGTTATATTCATCATACAGATTGTAGGATTGAGTGCTACTTTTCATGAGGGTATGCCGTAACAGTCATATCCACGCCAGTGGTTATTTTGTGGAATTCCATGCGTCACTGCCGCGTCAATTTCGTCATCGTTTTAGCCAGTGGCCCTATTCTAACATCGAACAAAGGCATCTACCCGTCTTCCCACACCGATGGAACATGTATTTTGATGCAGATCACTCTAAAGACAGGCGCCGATGGTATCGTTTTTTTGGTGTGTTCTCATTAGCACCAAGCAAGCAACTGTTCAGCTTTCCTGATTTTGAATTAATGGTGTCGTAAAGTTATCAGTCACTGTGCTATGTACGCGGTTAATTTAGTCAGGTCCGTTTGACCGTGATGGTTAGCATATGTGGCTTCATCCTAGCTGGTCATATGATGCCAGAAGATAACACAGACAGATGTTTTAATCAAAGATCACTACCAAATATCACTGCCGAATTCCATGCAATTAACACCAGTGTTATCTGTCCTCCAAGCACTTCTGGAAGAACATTTTTTACCAAATTTGATTTACAAAATGGGTTCCACCAGACATGCTTCTCTAGGCTATGTACATCTGTCACATTCTGAGAGACGATGTACACTCCAAGGCTATAATAAGCCGTCAGCGTGATACAAATATATGACAACCAGAATGTTCAGAGCGTCCCGCAGTTGTAGATATGATCATTTGGAAGAAGTAATGGACCTTCCAAGTTGTTTTATTGCAGTACCTGAGGCAGAGTCCCGATCTTCAATTACAGCATCAATTCACGCCGCCAAATACAGCAAACAAATCAGGAGCTACCGATGGAACGAACGCATGAGTGTTATGGTCGATTATCCACCAAAAACGCCTTCATCGATTTGCTGCTTCGTTTAAGTAGTTCGTCACTAGACGCTAAGGGTTTACTTGTTATGGCGTCGTTCTCAACTGTAGTCGCATTCTGGCGTAAAAAGTATAATTGAGTCACACTGACATCGAAATAAAGTAGGATAGATGACGTGTGCCGACCGGTGAAGACAACCACTCAGGCAGAATGCCTTTGGGAAATAAATTGAATGTACGCTAAAATACTGATCGTGTATGCAGTGAGGAAGACAAATCCGATAGCATCCGATAGCCATTTATCACATTACGTTCAGCCACATACCACCTAGTTCAGACCAAAGAATTACCCCAGACGTTTTCCTTCGTTGCAGCTTAGGTGGGGTAGTTTTCCAGATCCCAAACAGTTAGAAACTATTACTTTTTCAATTTTCACCAAATATATTACGAAGAGTACAAGATGGATTTCGCTGCTTAGTTTCTCCTGTTGAAAATCTGGCATTTTGATCGCACTCTTCCCATAAAGCAAAGTAATTTGTTCCAGTGGTGAGTCCTTTGTGAGGAGAAAGCCCCACACGAGGGAACATCACTACAATAAGTATAAACTGAACTGGACTAGTTTAAACAACCGATATCATAAACATGATCAAAGACTTCTGAACGTACTCAAGAATGTTAAGACGATAAAAAGCAGGTGCTCACTATGGTTGTCCAGCGTACCGATCGACGATAACAGGGTATTTTCAAGTCAGAACTGGTAAACAGTTAGTCAAGTGAAACTGTCGATACTCCACTGAAACTGGAGAACAAGTGAATCTTCATAAAATTCAACTTTGATTATTGAATGTCCACATAATCGACCTCGTTAAATTTGGTGTGGTCTGCTGACTCCAACAGGCAACGTTAGTCTCAAAAGTGTAGTTGAGTACTAATCAGCAAACATGTATCGGATATAGGTGTGACTTCATTTTTTGTCTCTAGTTGGAGAAGAACAATGCCGAGGAGACAGCTTAGATACCTTACACCTTACGTTCATACCTATCGGTCGCAGTGGCTTAAAGATGATGATTTAAGCCTGAAAACACAAGAAAATTACGTGAATTCAATCCATCCTGATTTTTCGCACTCCTACTGTCTTGAGTGCAGCAGTTTCATTCAAAACATTGCTGGTAATGTCGACAGAGTTCACCAATGACCAACGGTAATGGTACGAACTGCCGACTAACTTGGTGGAACTTTTTCGTCCTATTCTTTGTCTCTTTGTCAATAATACCAAATTTATCTTTTTGGAAACATGCGGCAAAAATCGTACTTTTGAAACAATGCTTTGAAGCTTACCTTGATAGATTGAATAAGAAATTTACTTTACAGAGGAGTTCTTTTACGACAGTTCGACTATGGTCGGTTTTTTAAAGTCTTCTGTGTAGGACTCATCGTACTTTCACGAAGATTATTGTAACAAGGAAAAACTGTAAATGGGTAGAACAAGAAACGAGCTTTCCACCACCAGCAGAATTTATCCAGCTTTTGATGGCAATCATTCCTGAGAAATCCAGAGAAATCGCCATAAATATAGTCTAACTTTGATCTACGGGGTTGGAGAACGCTAGGAATTCTGAATTAACGCACTAGTCGTTTTTACTATTCTTTTTGTCTCTGTTGATTAGGGATTTTCCTGAAAGTACGTTGGTTGCTAAATGAACGTAACGTTAACTAGGTCTTGGTTCTTCCTTTTACCGCACTTTGTTCATCGCATTTCCGTTCACTGTCACAAGACCAAACTCCCTTTCATTGCTCTTTGCCTTCGCAAAGGGTTAAGTTGCTAATTTGTTTGGAAAACCCTTGAAAACATGAATACAAATGAGAAAGCCCATCGCCAGACATGTTAAAAGCAAAACTCTTTGTAACACAGAACGTTAGACATACAAACCTCATTGAAGAACTTTGCGATCTCCGCTCCAAAAATGAGGTCACGTCTTCGGTCGAAAAAGTTAAAGTCACTGAGGTACAGGCCACATTGACAAAGTTGTTTGATGTCCCTTATGCTTCAAAGGTAAGCGGAAGACAACGCTAATTATAAAAATCTTTACTAGTACATCTGAACGTGTATAAAGAAATAACAACAAAACACAGATGCAATTGATAATAAAACCGCAACTAACACTTCAGTCATGACAGAAAAAAACTGCATGGATAGTGACATTTCAGGCAGGCATGAGAAGTTTTGCGACGCAACATATCGCAGCGCTGGAAGACCATTCAGAAGGAGAGAGGCTTCTCAAAGCAGCCTGGGTCACGCGGAATTTCGCAACATGCGGATGCACGGACCCTGGTAGAACTGGTTTTGTGAGTCACCAACGTATTCAATGGTGGACGTAAAGTTCAGGAACCTGGGTATGCAACTTGCATTTTGTTTGATTATCTGGCCGACTACTCGTCAGCTGAAGGATGAAAACGTCATTAGCCGTCATTCCATTACCACCTACACCTTGCATTAACAAGGGCCACCCGACCTAACCGGTATGTTCCAGGTTTCGGGGCGGTACGGTGTTGCACCGAAGTTTGAATTAGTTAGGGTGATGCAGACAACTGAATGGTAAATAGGTAGCTGGCTCCAGTGTCCACTGTTTGGTCACATGTTTAGGCGAGTTGACTGTTTTCGATAAGCCTGCGCACGTTCGCCCTTCGATTTCATTCTCTCGGGTTCACCTATTCGCCAGAAGAATGCTCAAAGCATCGTATCTGACTGCATGCAAGTTCTCCGTGGGTTCCAAGTACGAGTAGAGGTCCAGTAATTTGACCAGAAAATACCATTCAAATGGCAGATGCTGTTTACTCAAGTGATTCGAAGCTCAAAAACCATTCTTCTGTAGACTTTATATGTTTTCTCATGTAGCTTTGAACTGGCTTTGAACGTACTACTCAGTTCCGTGAATAAAAAACGGACATTCATACCAACTGGGCCCCGACAAAGTGAGAACACAAGGGAACACACAAGCTATCCTACATTTAGTTATCGACATATTGTGGAACTACGTCTAGTTTGGTTGTGTGGTTGCGAGATTTGTGGAATTCCCATTCACATCACTGACCTTCGACCATTACACCTTCTGCCCTGGCGCAATTAATCTGGTGAGTTTGCACCAAAGTATGGCATCAAAGAGGATTCTCCAAATTCCACAACCATCCATGGCAGGCGGGTCGATCGACCGACAAAACCAGGTTAGCTACTGGGTCGTCGCTCGAGGCGTCGTCAAGCTTGAGCACGCTCGCCTATGCAGGCATGTTTCTAGCGTGTGCCGGATGTCCGGAATTCAAAACCCAACATGCCAAGGATATCCACTGTTAACAAGCTCTAATAAGGACGAAACGTAAGTCTATTACTTTCACGCTTTGTCGTAAATCCACCAGAATAGTTGCACCAGGACAGGACTGTTCAAACATCAGTGACGTGAACGTGAGATCTAGTTTAGCTATCTGTAAATTTCTATTACATTATAAAAATCTGAAGAACAGGTTCAAAGTACAGGCATCTCATCAACTAAGAATTCCCAAAACAGGAATGCACATTACCTTTGTGGTATTGTATAAAACCTCATGATAGCATCGCATAACATGGGGGAAGCGCTTTCAGGACTTCAAACCGTCCTTGCCAGTTTGCCCTAGAATAAGACACCATTTTCCCGGGACAATGGAAACAAGTCACCATGGGTTACGCCTAAGCCTATCTGTATTGTTTTGACATTTCTCTGTAATCTTCACCCTCAAATACTCTGCGAATACATTCGGTTTTCCTGACTTACTCCGTTGCTCCATTACAGGACCACTAGCTACTGATCTGATAAGTGAATATTGAGGCATTTTGCACGCATTATCATGTTGTTAAAGCGGATAAGCATCTACACCAACAAAATATAGACCAGTTAATTATTCAGGACTGTCTAATTTTCTTAATGGCACTTATCTATTACACACCTTAACCCCTAAACAATCACCTAGTTGTTGGTTAAGTTTCGCTACCGAAGGACTATTACACACTTTTTGGTTCATACTCCCTGCACGCTTAACCAGAAGAATCATTAAGATTGTGTTTTTCTTCTTAGTTGCCTTCTATCTCTGGTATTCATGCAAACTACGTTACTTCCACGTATTCTATCTCTTGCAAATTCAAGCTGTTTTATTCATCCTTCCATGTCAAACAAGAGTCTAACCAACCATGTTCTAAAAATCAAAAAGTAACCTATTTGTCTGAATGTACAGAATCGTGTGAGAGGTTGAAGTGCATAAAGCTGACGTGGCGTGGTGCTCTCAGTGGCTCGTTTGGCATGCACCCATCCAGCAGACAGAATGCTGGTGGTTTCAGTCTACTGGCAATATTAAGGAATATAGGTAACTCGGGTCCATAGTTGTTAGTCTGTTTGGCGAGCATGGCAGCTGAGATGCGAACCTTTCATAACCAATCTAGGTGATATCATCAGGGTGGACGACAATGCACTAATGCAATGTAGGAACGATATCACCCTGTTTCGTGAAGAAACGTTTGCATTCCAACTTCCAAGCTCTGCGAATAGTTCTAGTCTTCAGTCAAAACGGTATTTTTGCCTACATCCAGCTGATTTTGACTTCGCATTTGAGGATCTCAGGTTAATTAGCGCTTTGAAGTTTTCAACCTGCGGGGAAGTGTCTCTAGGTAGTTCCAAGTGTTTCTGCATTTGTGTCATCTAAATGTCCATTCTCGTGTTCGGTAACAGAAATCATATTTGTATACAATAAACAGGGGCGTCTTTGTCTCTAAATAACGAAACATTTCTTCTTACACAGGTGTGCCAAGGAACAGTATCATCTCACATTCTTCTACGTAGAGCATCTGTCCTCTGAATGTAACAGTACGTTTTGAGACGGTCCGTTCTTTTTCGGTATCCACTGAAAAGGAGATAAGATTTATTACAGTTACTATGACGGCTTGACAAGATCACCAGTATGCAACTAACCACCTAAAGTTTGGGAAAATTAATAGTTAGATCTCAAAAAAATTCACTATGACCGCATTAAAACAAACTGAATTTTGTCGCCCTTAAATGCCCACTTTTTTACTTTCCAAGAATGAAGCCAAATAGTGTCATGTATTATTGGACTGCGGCCCGTGGAAACCAGTCGAGGACCTAACAATTCATCAGCACCTACTTGAATCACAAAGGGAGCAGTATATACCCAAACGTTACTATCACACTAACAAACACATAACTATTTCAGGTATTCATTAGGATTTCCGACTTACTGTTCATTCCAACGTCAGATATCAAGACCAGTTCAAAGGTGACGTGACAGTGTCGTTTGATCTGTTGAACGGAAAAAAATATCTTCTGTTTCATACTTACTAAGACCGCAGAAGACAAACTCAAGAAGGAGTAATGATCAATGGTAAAGTTGGGCGCCTTTCAGAGTGCTTTTTTAATTAAACGAACTTTGAAATAATGTGTGTGACGTTGAGATTTCGTTGGTTGAAGTGGATCTGTCTGTCTCATATCATAAAAACGTGCCAAAATGTTTCGAGTACGCTCATACTGGTTCATAGGCACAGTCCCCGAGTTTCCGTCCACCCTATGCTCTACTTGTGAGTAGTTTTCTTTATGACAATATACTGCGATATCTCGAATGTCGTGCCAACTGGAACATAAAACGGCCTATGTGCAGCACATTCAGTTGAACAATAGCATAAAGGAGAGATTCATTTGAGTCTCTCGTGAAAACCAAATTGATTTGCAAATGAGTGTATTTCTCGAAATACATAATGGTCTCTTCTGGAGATAACATTTTACTGAGTACTTATGACTGGCTTACTAGGTTCATTCCTACCGTGGATAAACCGTGTCGGCCTATCAGTCACCAAGATAGAATGAACACATCGCATCATATAGGAAGGATACCAATGACTACTAGGCTTAGTCTCGCCAAGACGTTGGAAAATATGTCAAAGGTCAGTTGAATATTAGATTCTACTGCAATATGATGACGACACAGTCACACGGTGGAGCCACCAGAAAAGAAGTGAACAGATGGCATTAGTTGCAGACAAGTGGAATAGAAGTATTCTATGAGGAACGCAGGAGTGCTTTAGAGCACTTCTAATTAGTTGCACCATAGCACCCTCTCATAAGGCTGTTCAGTGGATAAGGGACGTGGAATACGCAAAGTCGTATTCCGGTGTCCCTGTAAATAACATTACCATCAGACTCAGATAACTACGACACCTAAGAACGCGTCAGTATTTATTATCACGTTGGCGGTATCTCCACCTGTATGTATACCGTGTGGTCGTTAGACTGTTGGTACAGGAGCAATAAACGGTCAACTTGTTGATCAATCTTCTCGTTACAATTTGACATTTGAAGTGGGCGTGCTGCCACTGCCCCGCCATCTCACAGTGGACTTACCTGAATTCCCCTGTCCGAACAGGCTAACGTCTTCAAGCTCGAGGGTTGCCACTGGTTCACCCAAATCTTTGAAGGACAAACAAGTAAGCCGGCTGTGACCTGGCTGTGATCCGCCCGGCATGGCTAAGCAGTAAGGTAGCGCCCGAAGCGCTTGAAAACAGTTTTGACTAGTTGTAAGTTTCTGGAGGATTTTCAGATTACTCTTCTACATCTCAGTCAAACAAATACCACACTCCATCAGAAGCATGTTCGTTTGCGCTGGAGGAGTAGTCTTAGAGCATGCATCTTTTATAAGACATTTTGTTGTATTTCCATTTGCCTGGTGTTAGTGACTTTATGGTTTGGATTTCGCTCCCCGCCAATCATAAAATGAGCAAATAGTGAGTAACCCTGACTCACATAACTGTGAATAACGCATCCCTGAATCCTGCCTCATGTCGCGATGCATTTGAATCATACTTGACAACCATTCTGGATCATCAAAATGTCTGTCTAGTCAAATAAGTCACCGATAAACTGTATGAAACTGGGGGGTTAATATGAAAAAGACTGATATTGTAATAAAAGGTCAGTCCACTGCAGGTTACTCGATTTAGAATGCGTGATTTAAGGCTATTTCTTCCGATTGTCCAAGTGTACACTGCCGTTTACGCACTCAAAGCTTATTGATACAGTTTTCAAAACCCTGGTTGTTCATTAGTTCAAATTTCGTCTGCAGATTGTTAGACTATACTGTGAAGTGATCTAAAAGTAAGGCACTCCTGCAGATTTAATCTTGGTTCTTCAGCAGCCATTGAGTCTGGTTGGCGGATAAACTCCATGACTGGGAAAACCAGAAAGATCCATCGGTACAAACGGTACACATGGTACCAAACGGAATTTTTCACGGTGAATCGTCTAGCGCTTCCATCCACTGGTGGAGATTCTGCATGATTTTCAATCTTCGGTACTGTCGTTTGTTAATGAACGATTAACTCTTTTCAGCTGTCCCTCTTTAGAAAAACCAAGAGAAGATGCAAACCATAGAACGTCCCTTAGGCAAGACAAGTAATCGGAAGACTTTGGTGTACCTTCGAAAAATGGCTTCAAATAGCGTTGTCCCTACAGAAGAAACTACCTCATCTACCCCAATTTTGTCTTTCTGGATAGGTTGTATTTTCATGTATATCCAGGCTTGCAGAACTAATAGGGTGTTGACGGTTCCCGTCGGTTTCACCCACTCCGTAATAGTACAGTGCATCAGACACCCCTTCTATTAGCTGAAAACAGACTTTACATGTTTGACAAAAGATAATTGACAACTGATCACTGCGACAGCACTAAAGTTTGCAGGGCTTTCCAAAATACCTTTAAAAGTTCCATAGATAAATTGTGTTTCTGGGGGTACGAGAATCCAGTTGTGATATTCTCAGTAAGTAGCTTATGCAAGCATAGAGTTTAGTGTATATTAGTCCCGGCTTTACAAACAATCCCCGAGCAGTCAGTTGTCTGCTCAGTTAGCTCTTGTTTGAACACGTAAACAATAGTTTTCTGTCATGGAGATAATAACAGATTGTTTTCCAGTCTGGAAAAAAATTATACGCTGCACCTACCTCGGCGAATGTTGCTCCGATTTTCGGCCGATTCAGCATAAACACATCCGGCAGCAGCTCTCCCAGTGCAACTTCCTTGATTTCTCCATAGCCTTTGCCGAGGCTAACAATTTTCAGGTTGTCTGTAAAAAGCAGATGAAACTGGAAGAAACTCAAAAGCGATTCGTCAAAAGTGTGCGATGCAGCAATCGTATCCATTTTCATCTCTGTAGTCGTCATATAACTCGGAGGCCATTCACCAGTTTTGTTTGTGATTCGATACGTGTATCTGTTCAAACTAAGTACCTTCTCATAGCCAGTGAGTTCCACATCGACATCTAGACCGAAAAGTGATGTTGCGATTGCAGTCAGCTGTCCACGGACCATTTGGGCGTAGCAGTCACGCTTGCTGCTATAAGTGACCTCCATTGTAGTGTTCGTCGTGGCGGATACCACAAAGGTGGGACCACGCATTCTGGGGTAGTTTATCTGCATATTTTGATGCACGTCATCTAAGGTGTTAATAAACTGTGGAAATCCGTTTGCAATAACCCGGATGATTCTCCCGTATCCCATTTGAGAGAGAAACGTTTTGTGGAAATTGCCATAAGCGAAATAGATTTCATCTTCCGGACGACCTGTTGTCTTTGCTACTAACTTAACAATGCTTGGTAACAATGATTCTGGGTAGGCTCGTTTTATTTGGATGCCTGTCACCTCTCCGCTCACTTGCTGGATTGCAGTCTGCCACAGTTCCACACCGTATTCCCTGACCAGATATTCCTTCAGTCCCTCTAATAGAAGACCATACATCTTCTCTGTTCCTTGGGAATATCACCCCTACATGTTTATATAGTGAGTCTGGTGAAATTCGAAGAGAAGTACATTAGTTCATCCTAATTACTTGCATTTGATAGGGTGGCGGAGAGCCATTAAAAGGCTATTGAAAGCTGTGCACAGTTCCGCCCTTATTATTCAAGCTGAATAGGCGCGTGTCAGGACACCGCGCGTACACACAAATGCGAATGGTTTGGAACAAAATAATCTGAAAAAAGTGAACCAACCTGGACAATGTAATAAACGTAGCGGCGAAATCATTACATGCGGAAGATTCTTCTTGATTCGCTGCTGGAACCAGATACCGATAAACAAATCACGATTGTTCGGAAGCATCTGAAAGTCCATAGTGCTTACCTTGTTTGTGCCCTGTGTCAACTGTAAACCAACCATTAGGTGACATGGCACCTGTGTAACGATAAAGGTGATATTGCGGAATTTGAAGTTGTGCATCAATTGACATCCACTTCATGGGAACTATTCTGGAAATAAGACGCATCTTTCAGGTCTGACCACATTTCGCTCCAAAGTTATCACTTGTCAGGTGTTCAAGTTTGGTTCGTAGAGATTACGTGTGGCTTCAGCGAAAGCTGTAAGTTGGTAATATTGTTTAGTAGTAACACACCCATTAAAGTACAGTAGGAGGGACGTCAAAAATCTCGTTGTCCTTGGTGCACATTTAAGCTCCAAATAACTATTGTAGGAAGCCGCTGTCCAACACGGGTGCAGCTATCCTCTCGCATGAGTAGGAACTGATTCGACGGTAAGACTGAATAGCCCCATGATCTGCACTGCACTTACTATACGGTCTATAATATTATATACTAACATGGAAGGTTGGAAGTTCTCTCCTTTCAATCAAACAATGTATGACAAGGAATATGTGGCCGGATATGTGCGTAGTCTCTGCATTAGGCGGACTGCCGCTTACAAAATAGGGAGTACAACAATCATGTCCTGAAATTTGACAAAAAAAGGGTCTTTAGGTTACTAAACTTGGTACTGGTGAGAGAATATGAAATGATTGCATCTACCAACTCCGATGTTGCCGTTGCATTATTCCAACTTCTCGATGGGAATAATTGTTCTAAGCGTGAAAATCAACTAAAGCTTAAACTCTGACCATCAACCGACAGAATAAGATCGGAGAGTATTTATACCTGTTAGTCATGTACAGCAAGACAGTATAATGTGCAGCTTCTAATCATTCAGAGTTTTTTTTCAGTATAGAATGGCTAACAGTAACCAGGCTATCTGTAGCTGTCCTACATATTTAAGCCTATCAACAGGGCACTCATTCAATGAATATCGGAAGGCCAAGAGACATTCCGAACCGACCGTGCCGGCGTCAATAATTGGAAGAAGCATAAACAACGTATGCCCTTTGGCCCACACTGGACTGCACCAAAATGAGACTGGTTTAAAACCACTGCTGTTTTCATTCATCAGTCAAGTGGCTGAACATTGTGGTTTTTATTAGATGTCTCACAAACCCTAATGAAATTTCAAAATCTACGGTTCAATCCAGCGAAATGACTTCTGCAAGGGGTCGGCAAATTTCACATTATGGGTGTGGACAAATTCAGCCCTCCATCTCCTATACACTAAATTCGGTCGAGCCATTAAATAAAGGGGCATTTAACTATTCCATCTATAAGCTTTCAAAATCTGAAGCTATTTCAACTGCCTAACCAACCGTCGAACTTTTAACAGAGATCTTAAGAAATCCTTGCCTAATTAAATTATCCTTTCCCGTTGCAGGAGCTGTAAGCAGCCACATTCCAAATACATGGAGAGCAAGCTTGCAAAAGAACGTATGTACTTAATACCTGTACAGGACTAGGTAGTCAGTACAACTAACTGTATCTTCTCGAATGGGAACGGATTAGCTGGAGATCAACACGCTCATACCAAAAGCCAAAATCCCATTGAAATTACCAATAAGTGGAAATCTTTCCACTCTCATTTTTTTGTTTCCCTCATACGAAATCAGCTCTACAAATAGTGGGTGATGCTCCTAGCCATGTTTTTACCAGTGTATTTACTTGTGCCGTTTAATGTGCCAAGAGGACCTTATACCATCGGCTTTCACTCGAGGAACCATTTTCTATGTCTTGGATTTAATGTTACTTAAAAGAGAATAAGGAAACTATCATATTCGTCCAGTGCACTTCTACCAGTACTGACTTGAATTGCGCACAGTGGCATACAAGGGTGTCAAAAGATATTGCTGTACATGCTGAGTCACTGATTATTTCTTCCGGCCTGAGCCAGTAAAAATTGAACAGTTGTTGTTCCTTTTCTTGAATTATTCGTGTATCTCGGGGTTGCTAGTTTTGTTGTTTCCGTTTTGCGCCTACAAACTTTTCTGATTCTGACCTGACTTTTGACCTTATCGTCGTACGTCCAGTTTCGCTATCTTCTGGTCACTTTGTCCGAGTCCCAGAGAACTCTGGGTAGGTATACGGTTTCCTGTTTACCTGTCTGAAAACGATTCCACTTGGAATTAGCAGTACTCGACCAGGTTATAGAAGTCGGTGTAGTCCCACGATTGTTGGTATGTATCATTTAATTATTTTACGTACTGTGTATGTACTATGTATTCATAGTACCGCATTCGTTGACAAGCCTCCAGTTGAACGATATGAGTACTGCGGTTCCGCAAGTGATTCAACGTGACCCACCTTATTTCTGGGGATACTAAATAACGGTAGCTCTCTTTATTTCACTCGAAACTTTAAAAACAATTGCATCTAACCATGTCATGGAAAGCCACAACAAATGTGTGTGGCTTCGGGTATTTTACTTATTCTACCATCATTTACGGTCAACTAGACATCTGTTTTAAAAACCTAAGAGGTTGATCGGATGGCAAATTGAATGGCAAAAAAGTATTCGTCACCGTATCAAGGTTTAAAAGGAATTATTCCCACAACTGAAAGAAAACAAGAAAGCTTTTTTATTCGGAAACGTAGCAAATACCTCAGTTCTTTTGGAGAGCTGGAACCAGTACTACTGTGTATCACATTACTAATGTGGTCTTATGGTTTTATCCGAATAGTTGTTTCTCAATCGGTTGCAAACGCATATTCCAATACTCGTTAACTGTACGATTGCGTTTGTGCATTGCAGAGTTGAACTAATGACTCAATACGTTTTATCTTCTCATGCACGCGCGGCGGAGTTCTGCTGTAACAAGCCATTCGACCAGCAAATCAGCTCCCTGCCACTCATTTCTCTTGTACAATCGATGTAACAGGACAGAAGAGGCGATCGTTGTCGATGAAGATTTCGATATATGGGGACGTTGTGAATTTCCTTACTAATTGAGCTTTATCAAAAGCCCGTTTCCTCTTTTTTCTGCGTCACTCACAGTACGATCGATCATGGAGAAATACACCGATGGTCATTTTCATTCATGATTATATGTCAGTTGTCCCAGAAATCATATGAAAAGAGCTCACCTCTCTAAGAATGTTTTGTCCAATCATTTTTAAAGTGATTTACACGCTCCGAAAAAAACACTGCTTACGAAGAAATGTTCAAAGACTGTTAATTATGCTCATTTGTCTATGGAATAGGCTCAGGTCATCCTTCCAGCTTACTGTATTGACGACTGACTGGGTACATTTATGTGGTGATGTGCCTAGCATTCAGTTTCCGAGAACAGAACACAAACGGTTCCCTTGAGGACATTGGCGCCCTAAACAGTGTCGTTTAATATGTAAAGATACCCCACTTCGCTCTTCTTGCAATTACGCATTACTGTCTGTCATCGCAAGTATCGAAGTCAAATATGGCTGAAATATGCATCGAAAAATCACTGCAGAATTCAGTACTTGCATTCTCGTCTTATCCGGGCAAGAGACAATGGTTTGTTTGAGAAATGATTTTGAATGATTAAAGCATGCGACTCCAAAAGGTCGCACATAGACTTCTGTGAACTTAGAATTGGTTCAATGTTTTTACTGCAACAGTAAATTAGGAGAATCCACCAAGGTTCCATCCAGAATACTAATAGAAGCATAAAAGGGTATACAGAAGTTTCTAATTGGAGTGATCGGAATGCAACAGTGACATATGCATCACGAAAATCTGTCCATAGTGGTCCTGAATGACGATTTCAATATGCATTGCCTCCAATCATCGAACCACCAACTCAGTCAGCGTGCGGGTAGACAGCGTGTCTGTAGACTGTGAAGATGTAATCAAGCCTGATGAGAAGAGTTTTTGGTTAGATATCCGCCCAATTTCTTTAGGGACATAGTATGCCCCATGTTATGAGTTCAAATAATAAGTCTTCATGAAACCTTGAACGAAGATCCCTTTTCGACTATCTTCATACTAGCTCGTCAAAAGAAATATAATTAAGAATTTTATGTACTTTTTCAATTCATTCGCTTTCGTCAAGTCACCTTGTGTTAGGGATGATATGATTCCTCCCTATTGATGGTCTCCAATAACTTCGTCCAAGACAAAAATTGATTTATCATCCAAAAACAGCTATATTTCTGTTGAACGAGTCAGGTTATTTATGCCTTCTTGGAAATAGGCTGCTGTAGTTGTGTGAGGTCGAAGTTACTCAGGATATTTGAAGAAGAGAACAATATCCATTAGTCGTCAAAGCCAAATGGACGCTACACACTATTGAAAACTTTGAGCATAAATTCTTTGGCCAAACCACTCGACGGAAGTGTTGCAAAGGTCCTTCAAGCTCAGATAACTAGACGGCTGTGGCGCCCAAAGCTGTATTTGAAAGATTTATATAGCAGTATAGATAAGCACTGTGTAGTGTAGATAGATAGTAGTCCGAAAAGTGCGCCACACTATCGTTGGAAATGAAGAGACCGACAATTTTTTGCCGCTTGCTTCTTGCACTCAAAAGTGGCAAATGGTACCAAAAACAGTAGAACAGTAAATAGTAACTCATTTGAACTGTAGCATCAAAGGCAAACAGCCGAGTAGATAGTCCTCCC